TTATTTTCAACTTTAATTTATATATTTTATCTTATTCTTTCCCAGTTAAATTTACCCTTCATTCTAATTTGTGTTGTACAGTTATCTCGTTTTTAACTTAATTTTTATATTTTATTTTAGTTTATTCCTTCCTAGTTAAATCTACCTTTATTTATCTTATTCATAGCCTTTTCTTTTTTTTCTTTAGGTCACGAGCAGTTGTCTAAGCATTTCACTGCATATCGTACTGTGTATGACTGTGTATGTGACAAATAAAATTTGAATTTGAATTTGAACTAACATCATTTTAAATATAAGGTGTGTTTTAAATTCATGAATGCGAATCCTTTGCAGTGTCTGACTGCCTGAAGTCTCGCCTGTGATAAAATGCTGTTTCCTCCCTTGAGATGCTTTGCCTGCAGCTACCTTCAGTTGCTGCTTGTTTGTGGGTCTCTTCCCTCTGTGCCTTCTGCTCTGTTTGGCTGAGATCAGGTAACTGATGTGTCGAGATTCTTGGGTTGCTTTTCCAGTTTGCTTTGGATCATTATCTATTTGCACTGTGAAGGGTTGTCTGATCTAAGCAGAGAGTACAGCCCTGTATACTTCACGATTCATTCCACTGCTTCTATCAGCAGTCATATCATCAATAAATACTAGTGACCCAGTTGTGCTGGCAGCCGTGCACGCCCATACGATGCCCTCCGTGATGTGGCGCGCTTCAGATTAGGAACGGTTTCTCTCCTCGTGTCGGGAAATGCATGGAGACGAGACCTAAATGCAAACTGCAGAGTCAGACTAGAAGAAAACAAAAAGTGAATCTTTACTGTGGCCGACGTCCAAAAACACAGAAGAAAGCAGCAGGGAACACCGTAGGAACTTCACAGGGCTGAAACACAGCGTGACGCAACTAAAAACACAGGCTATAAATACACATGAAACAGGAGGGAAACTAAACACAGCTGAATGTGATCAAGGTAAACAACAGACAGGAGGTAAAACCAGAGACAAGACATGGGAGAATGTGATTAGCAAAGTAAAGCTGAATGCGAGTAAACTGACACTGAGAGATCAAACCAGCTAAAATATACATATAAATGTAATAATCAAGCTAAGAACAAAGAAATCTTAACGAAGGAGAACCTAAAAGTCCAGAAACACCTTCTCATTTTT